TTAACCCCGCCTCATCTTTATTTTCCAACTAACCCCCCTGCTGCTCTTTTTTCTCTCTCACTCACACACACCCCCTGCGATGGATTCCAGATCGGGAATTTTATGCATTTCTGTTTCGCATCACCTCCCAGGAATGCAGCACGCGTGCCACAATCCTCATAACCTCAGGCTGATGAGTGTGAGGATGTTTAAAAGAGAGAGGACTGATGGGATACAGACGCTGCTGGGGGTGATGGGGGGTGGCTGAGGGGAGGTTTGACTGAGCGCATCCGGCGCAGCACTCGGCGTTAATGACAGGCCATCTTGTTGCATAAAGCAATGTTAGTGCAGCTGTGGTATGTGTGCCGAGCGCATCTGGACTGCAGATTTTTGGGAGTGTATTTTGTGTTTGTTTGGTCTGTCCAGTCTCACTCAAATTAAAGACTGTTGCACGATACACAGGGAGGATGGAGTGAATTAACTTTGTTGGGGATCTTTCGAGGGGGGGCTCATCTCAAAGTGCAAATTTTACAAGGCAGCCTGTTTTGAATAACGTGTAGATACTTCTTTTATACTCTGGAAGTATCAGGCATTACGCTTATTGAATCTTGTCAGGATTAGACGCTCATTGTCAGGTTGCTTGGAGGGCGGAAAAGTTCTTGTCAAACACAGCCTCCAACTCTCCGTTTGAGTTAGGGCTGAAAGTAACGATTACTACTGATTGCTACGGAGCCCCTAAAGGGACATGGGAAGAAAGAAAAAAAAAAACAGAGAGAGAAAAAAAAAAGTCAGGATAACGGGTTTGTATCTTTTCTGTTAATGTCGATCTGGAGAAAGCAGAAGAAATATAAACAACGTTACTATACTAGCAAGTTAGCTAAATGAGGCTAACAAATTGGCCTATCGCTAAAAACAGTGTAATGCTACATTTAGCTGTAAGTGCATGCAACAGGTAAACAGCAGAATAATTTACCTTGTCATCTTTCAGTTGATTGACGATATTATCGGGTATATTTCGCCTTTTCAGGAACGTGAATATGTCCACCTCCCCTGCCATTGTTTATGGGTTGGACTTGGATGAGCTAGGCTACCTGAAAATACGAACGGAATATGCCGTTCTGAGAGAATGTAACTGTGACGACGTGCAAGCAGGACCGTAATGTCCTTATAAGGAAGTCCGAGATTAAAATATACCTTTCCACTGTCATTTCAAAACGTATACATACAAGTCTGCATTGAAATGTTGGTCTACTGTGTGCTGCACTTCCTCCTTGGCGCACTGGTTAATAGGAAGTGGATTCAAAAATAAAGTCAGGATAACGGATTAGTTTCGCGTGCGCACGAGAAAGGAACCCGTTTTCCTGACTTTATTTTTTTTCTCATATATTTTTTTTATGTCCCTTAAACCGTTATCCTGACTTTTTTTTAAGATACTTTCTCGTGCGCACGCGAAACATTCTCGTGCGCACGAGATACAAACCCGTTATCCTGACTTTTTTTTTTCTCTCTTTTTTTTTTCTTTCTTCCCATGTCCCTTTAGGGGCTCCGTAGTTGGAGGAGGAGGTCACGGTTGTTGTTTTTTTATTAAAAACCAGATTTATCGATTTTATTATTTTTACCTAAAAATGTCCAAGGTGATGTCTTTAAATATATTTTATGGTCAGTCCAAAACCAAAAGATATTCAGTTTGATACTTTCTGTGTTTTTTTGAAGCTCTAGTTATAGCTAAATAATGTTAGATACAATTCTTTCTGCTCTTCTATCATTTACATAATTGTTGGCTAGATAGTTGTAGATTTAAATTAAAACTTTTTAAATGTAATTTCATCTTTGAAGTTCTTGTCCTGTAAATTAACATTTGAGACATTTTGTGTCTCATATTCAAAATATGCAACGTTTGATTTCTTCAAATTGAATTAGTGTTAAACCAAAGTTCTTCCTAAGAATAACTTTTGCAGTATCCATCTGCGATTGGCAAGAATGTTTTATTCCCTGTAAGTCCTTATTACACTCCCTTGCGTGCCCCAGATCTAATGTAACTAAAGTCCCGGACAGACAACTACCAGACAATAGAAAAACAGAACATTTAGTTACACATAATTATATAACAGTACATGATCCTGTTCATACAAATCCAGATAATGATCCACTGTATTTTGGAAAATTGAAGAAGTCAGTCATGGACATTAAGTCTCAGTTTTTCTCCATTTCTGTGTCCCAACATGAGACACAGTTTACACATACATGTATTTATTACCGTACAACAGTTAGTGTCTTTTGCTGATCAGAAATACTGAACTTCTCTCACCACTGTCTGTAGTGGCGTTGTGTTTGTGGCGCTCTAGCACCCTCTGGTGATCATATGATGGTTTGGGTAAAAAGTTGGTTTGTGCAGTATGTTGTGTAGTACAGATCATGTGTGTCATCTTATCACAATTTACTTAAAAGACAGAAAATAACCTAAATTCAAAAGGACAAAAGTAATATTTGGGTAGTATGAGTTTGTAGTGTTCTATCTATCATCTGTTTTATCCACTCAATCTGTTGCTCTTTCGTAGTCTTAGTTGCTGTTTTGGGAGTAATGACCATTTCCCCCACTTTTTTTCCATCTTGTTTTTCTTGCAATCTTAAAAGAAATATAGTTTTTCGATTATTTAAAATGTCCATTATGTACAATTCCTCTACATACCACTGTACCCTATTTCCATAGGATTCCTTTTTTAACATCCATCTTCAATATTTTGACTGAATACCTATTCCTTGTTTGTACATTTCCGTTATAATAATTACAAAGCACTAATAGATAATCATAAAGGGCATATACATATCATATTGTAGTGTCTTTTGTATAATTTGTGTGCACTATTTTCTAGAACGTTAATATTTAAAAAGGTCAAATCCAAAATATTTAAGTTGTAGACAAAATACATTGAATACAGAACACCAGTTATTCCAGATGTATTTAATCCATAGTTCAGTCTTTTAGGCTTTTTACATATATATAAAAACATAAAATAGAAATCAATGAGTCATGACAGTATCAAAGGCACTGATGGTTACAGTACAACAACAACAACAACAACAACAACACAGTACAAATGTTCAGCGGTTAGCATTCTTGTTTGGAGTGTGATCTTGGCTAAGTGCCGTGTATCTGACAGTGTTTACAAGCAGGACATTTTAAAGAGCTAATTCTTCAGACAGATACCAATCTAGGTCAGACAAACTGGAAAGAAAAAAAAAAGCTTTTCCTGATTATGAGAAAATATTTAGTGAATCGTAATGTACATTTTATTTCAATTTAGGATGTTTCTTTAGAAGACAACTTGACCTGTCATCCTGATGCTGCCCTCATACAACATTTCATTACCGTAGTAAGCAAAACACTTTCTATGTACAAAAATCCCTTATTTTCCACAAAAACTCAAGATACCACAGGAAAGAGAACAGTTTGTTGCCGTCACACTAATTTAAAGATAGCATTCCTTGATAGTTGCGGATAAACATCTCTTCACCTAACTTTGAACGAGTCCCCTTAAAAGTAGTGCATTTCAAACGTGGTCCAACTTGGTATAACCATGCGTGGACAGCCGAAAATACTTCAGGTCAGGCCAGACGTCTGAGTGACAACTTGTCATCGGATATCCCTTCCCCGCTCTACATGTAAATAAACATGTACATCTCTGTTTGCATGTACAAAACACATAATCAAGTATGTTTTTGTTATTGGTGTGTGTGTGTATTTACATTTCAGTTGTTACTCTCACATAGATCATACGTTATAGAAAACATGTGGCCCACAGACTTTGTGGCGCTTGGTTTACTTTTCTCAGCCCCTGAAGTATATTTCAAAATGTATCTGGTAGCGGTACATTGTATTCTACTGTTATGCTACGACTGATTTGTCATTGCCACTAAGTAAATGTTGAATCAATGCTCAACTGTTAACATTTTTTAGAGGGCCTGCACAAGCCCAATCCTGTTATATTTAGCCGCTTTCACACCAAGTACTTTGCCGTACTTAGTTCCCAGCACTTAGTTCCCCCATGGAACTAAAGAGCAGATCGCGTTCACACCGGAATAAGTTCCCTGAGGGAAGATTACACAAATGAAGCCGCTGACGTCACTTGTTCTTCTTCGGGTTTGTGCTGCGTCCACACGGCGGCGTGCGTTGAAGCTTGCCGGTGGGCGTGTCTGAAACTCGACCAACAACCAACCACATGAATCTCCCACCCCGGACACACAAGGACGCGGTTTGATTGGCTAGAGCTTGTACTGGCATATGATTTGATTGGCTGACGCTTCCGTCGAAGCTTCAAAAGTAGAACATTGCTCAACTTTTGAAGCGAGCAATGCGAAGCGACGGAACTACAATGCAGTTCGGCAAAGCGTGACGTCACCCCATTCAAAGTGAATGGGCAGACGCATTGAAGCTTCAACGCACGCCGCCATGTGGACGGGCCGTTACGGTGCCTACACACGGCGGCGTGCGTTGAAGCATGCCGGCGGGCTTGTCTGAAGCTCGACCAACAACCAATCACATGAATCTCCAGCCCCGGACACACAAGCACAGTAGAAGCTGCTGGAACTCCCAGCAGCTTCTACTGAAGCCTTCTGAGTAAATCGCCAGAACGCTGACACCTCCTCATCTCTACTGCTCCCATGTTTTTTTTTGTGTTGCCATAAGTTATTCTCTCTCCGTTGGTGCGCTGGGCTAATGCTAATAATGCTAATGCCAGCAAATACAATGGCGGCTTCACAAAACTTTTTACGGGGCGTGGTTTGCAATTCGCCCAGCCAATAGAAATTGGAACTTTTTTCTCCCCAGGAAAGTACCACCTCTCTAGCAGGCACTAAAAAGGGGGTACAAGTTATCATGAACTAAGTTCTCTTTTTGGTGTGAACGCAAAATCCCAGGAACTATCGGAACTAAAAGGGAAAAGTACTCCGGTGTGAAAGTGCCTTTTGTTATCTGTGGTGGTTGTTAGGGTTAAAAATCAGTTAATGACCCAACACTTTGCCAATGTGCTCTTCAAACTTTATAAATATCTTACATCCTGTAGTTCCCACTCAGTGGACTTCAAACACACTACCACTTTACATTGTAAGCTGCTCAATTATAAAAAGACCAAGCAAGTGGCATGGTGATCAATACATTTGACAACAAAGCTAAAAAGGGAGCTTTCATTTTGTGAAAATGTGACTTGACTTTCTGTTTTGCTCCTTTAATTTAATGTACGACAGACTTGTTCAAAAGCATGTGCTGGTTCTCAGTAAAGATTATAAAAGGGATAAAGTATTGTATTACTGAATGCCCCCTAATCATAAAATGCCTCGTATCACCTTGGTAAATCTTGAATTTCGATTCCACTTAAAACCCAGTCATCAGAGAACTCTGTCTTCCAGTCGTTACTTAAACACATTGTATCACAGACCGTATATCCCAGCAGCCCTCTCTTCTTCCCTTGTGATTATTAGACATGTTTGCAGTCCGGCTCTACTGGGCCTGGGTCTCCTCGTTCTTCGTCTCCTGCCATTTCTTCTGCCTATGACTGAACTCTGCGTCAGAAAAGGCTGCGGGGCCCCAGTTTGTGATCATCTGCTGGCCCTTGGAACCTGAAGGGAAAGGTAGGAGTATTTTATTATTATATTAGTCACTATAATCAGGGCTGCACATAACTGGTGCGCAGGTGCGCATGCGCACCTCGGCCAAAAAAAGAGCACCGGGTCATTTGAAAAAAGGCGCATTTGCGTACCAACATTGAGAGAGAGGGAGAGAGAAGGGAGAAGAGAAAAGAGAGAAGAGAGGAGAGAGAAGAGAGAGAGAGAGAAAGATATTTGCGAGTTGCATATGAACTCAGGGCCGGCCCGTCGCACTGGCGTTTATTTTCGCCTAGGGCGCCAGATCTGTGGAGGCGCTGCGCTGGCAGCTCTGGGAGGGAAAAAAACATTTTTGACCGTTGGTGCTCATCCTAATTTTTGGCCTTGATGTAACAAAATTCATAATTAAGTAAATGTAACACCCTTTTCACCCCGGTTACACGTTTCATTCGCCCTGTACGATGGGCGCTGTAAGTGATGGAAATGGGGGATGTTGGCTTATCTGGCGCCCGCAGCTCACAGCCAAAGTGCGAGTGAGCGAGGGAGAGAGGGAGGGTGCACCGGTACCAGCGCTGTTGTTATTATAATCTGGTGCTAGCTGCGGATATAAGAAGAAGATGTTTCTACAATGATGTGGAGGGAGAGTCCTCTCCAGTCAGACCGAGAGACTGATAACTACAGCTCAGTGAGGTAAAGGACTCTTGAGTGTTTAGATAGTTCACTTTAGTCTAAGTTCAAACGGTTTGGTCACAATTTATGTAAACACATATTTTCAAGGCACTCCTTTATAATTATTGGGATAAACAGGTTTGAAATCATTCCAATGTATACTATAGGACAGTAACCAAACATATCCTTTTAAAACTGGACTTTCGACCCAAACCCAGCTGTTGACTTGTGGATGCAAGCATCTAATCGCAGACTCAACCAGAGAGAAAGAAGTAGGCCTACATCATCAGCTACCATGTCTGACAGAGAGGAGAACAGTCAGGAGGGTAGTGATGACAGCTTGTATTACTGGTCGTGCTAATGTTGTCTTGTGTTCGCCTCTGCATGTGTGTTCTGTGTTCACCTCTGCATGTGTGTTCTGTGTTCACCTCTGCATGTGTGTGTTCTGTGTTCACCTCTGCATGTGTGTTCTGTGTTCACCTCACGTGTGTTCAGTGCCATGTGTCTGGCAAATAAAGACCGGTTTATTTATTTCATTTTAAGGATGAGCACCAAGCAACATCTCCAGGTGCTCCTTTGAGAACCAGGGCAAAAAAGTTATGTGCACCCCTGACTATAATGCATTGATAACAGCAATCAAATGTCACATGACTCTTCTATACATCGTTGCGCGGGTGTCTGCACAAAAAGGTCAGCTACAAAGAAAGCATCCCATTTTGCATATGTTGCTGTTTGCAAAATAAAAGTTGTATATGGAAAATATTCAAAAGGGATAGTACTTGTGATAAATAAACAGATATTAAAGTATACTCAGATTCAGTTTTTCGGTACTGCTGAAATGTATTACTTGAAATGAACACAAAAGACAGCAATAAAAACAGAATGATAGTAAAATGTTGAATTGCAAAACGCACCATTTTTTTACTGCCATCTTAGAAACAACTAAAATGTCCAGAGGGAAATAACCCAGAGTTTCGCTGTGTGTTTATTGCGTAAGTTGATAACACAAAATATGATGTTGTGCAACGCTAGCGGCCATCTCTGTAACAGAACACACTTGTTGTGTACAGCTGATTTTAGTTATATCCGTGCGCACGTTATCATTAATTTTCCTCACTTTCACATATGGCTCATTCTATTTTAATAGGAGATCATTTTGCTAATGTTTATGTCAATGCAGAACTATTTAGTGATCTCTTTAAAAAGGTCAGCCTCTTATTATTAAAACAACATTTAAAGATACAGATATTCCTGAAAAACTAATTGGGAGCGCTATCACTCACAAAGATTCATTTCAGTTATGATTTTATCTTTAATGTTATCTTAACTGCACTTTAGCCTCTTAGGTTTCAACTGAATATGATTAAGTGTGAAAAAGTGCAGCCGTTTTAAACGCATAAACCGTGTGATATGGATATTTTGTCTATTAAAGTCGTCATTATTACTTTGTAGTAAACAACATTCTTAATATGAAGCCTCCAGCCAAAGGTATCTGTGGAATTTCGATATCTTACTGTTATAGCTTGTTTGCTCGGTACATAGTTGGCTGAGAGAGTATGACAAAACAGTCTCAGCTTGTTTTTCCTCTGAATCTACCAATAAACTCTATTGGGACATTAGAGGGATGAAGGCGCCATTACATTGATTCATGGCAGGAGTTTGTAGCTTTGAGGAAAAAACAATTCAAGCAGATATGTATACATGTTGCTCTCTAACTCTCAGTTTAAACGCACAGAGCAAGAGGAAACCATCAAAGCTGCCCCAAGCTACCCAGTTTTACTGAAATGTTATCATGACCTGGTAATAATAATAATAATTTCATTTGTACAGTGCTTTTCTTACACAGATGCAACTCAAAGTGCTTTAACAATATGGCAAACAACAGATATTCAATTCAGGTCAAACGTAAAAAATAAGAGACATAATGCAAAATGAATACTATAAAATAATAAAACAGTATGATTGACACCGTCATTTGTGTGAAAGTGTCTTGGTCACATATCTAGACATGGGATTGTATTAAACTGCCATTTAATTGACATTAAGAGGGTCATGGCTATGCGGCGCTGCAGGCAAATACCGTGAATGGATGGAGACAATAGTGGGCGAATAATATTATTAAAAATGATGTTTGATATGATAAAAACCTTAAGCAGTATAGCTTCAACCTTGCTCTCACCCTGGAATCCAGTCTTACCCATCAAAGATGTCTCTACTCTCAAGGTGGTACACTAAGCTTGGTCCTCACGAAGACAGAAGAACCATCAAACAGTCATTTGGAGCGGCTGATGTTACCTGGTTGGATGAGCCGTAGCATGCCCTCTTGTTCGGCCACCTTGTGCTTCCAGGTCTTTGTGTTGTTGGCTGCGTCTTCCAGCTTCCTCATCACCGCCTGGCTCACACGAGAAAACACAGAGACAAAGCTATAAACAGGTCATCAAATTATATATGTTTTCAGCATATCTTGGAGCGCTGTATCAACAACATAACCTGTATAATGTGTCTCACATGACTTTCTCATTAGCTGCCTCCCATCCAGCAGTCCAACTCACACCATGAGGTAAAAAAGGCACTAAACTACTAAAGAACTGACGTCTTCAGACAGATAGACAATATGTTAATAATTTACACTGAGAAATGTATTTACCTGCTATAAAAGTTAGTTTGTGTGTATAACTTCTATCACTGTAACAACAGCTATAAACAGTGTGAGAACAACACATTGTTGTTCATTATCGCTCGATGTAATCTCACCTTAAACACAATCTACAATCTTGGCTTTTTCTCAAAAATAAATAAATCGTACTTTTCGGGCGGGCCCTTTGAGTGTGGTACATTTTGGATTTGGCATTTAATGAAAATAGTTTGGGGGGGTTTTCACTCAATGTGATGTTTGTACCAAACGATCCTGGTACACATTCTACAAATGGGAGATTACTAAAAAATGAATAAAGCCTACTAATGCAACTGTGCAGAAACAAACAAAATGAAACGCACAGCATTTATGAATCAATACTATGAATGAAGCTTCAAACTTTTTAATGCAGCTCTACTAAATAACTATTGTTCTCCAAATAAGTATGGGTGATGGAGGAACTGCTCATAACCTTTTTTCTGCCAGCTATTTCCTACTGAGCCATAGTGTAATCCACATCTCTCTGACCTGGTACTGCTCCAGCGCGCCCTGCCTGTCCTCCTCCAGCTGGTCCAGCTGCTTCATGGCCGCCTGCAGCTCCTTCTCTTTGATCAGACGCTCCCTCTCCAGCTCCTGCTTCTCAGCCTTCGTCTCTGCGATGGCGCGCTGCTGCTGCAGGTGAAACTCCTCCAGCTCCGCCCTCTTTACGGCCTCCTCCTCCAGCAACCTGCTCCACACACACACCAAACATTGGTCAGTATATAAGTTATGTGCGAATAAGCCTCTTGTTTCCAGCTGAGCCCTGCAGTGTCACATTAAACACTTTCTAAGGCATATTATAACCTAAACTGAGCACAATGTGTGCATGCAGACCTTTTTGAAAATAAAGATTAATTGTGCACATTTTTATATTCTTTTTTCTAAATGTATCTTCCCTAAATGTTGCAATACTTGCTTTGATTGTTTATGTTGTCTTACTATGTCTACAGTATGCACCAATACATCACATTTGTCCTATGTGAAATAATCAACTGGATCCTGATCATAGTTAGTAGGTATTTGTTGCTATACATTAGCAACATTTGCAATTCCCACCATCAATATATACTCTTATGTATTTGTAACTAAAGTGTTGGAAATGTTCTAACCATTTCTCATAGGTTGTAAAAGTGTAAAGTAATGAATGCATAAAACTATGTGAACAGATCTTAATCTAAAATATGTGAAACAGGATGTAACAAAGTTTCCTCAGTCTAAAAGAAATGAAAGCAACTTGCATATAAATCAACAGGAAGGTGGAGGGTGTTGTTCGTCAGCAGGTGGCGCTGTAGTGCAATTATGAACTAAATTGTTGGATAAATGTAACTTGCATTGTTTATATTCTTAAGACATTATATACAGAAGGCAGTCGAAGATTAGATGGAACCAAAATGAAGTCACTGTTTATTAATATGAAAAATTAGGCTTCCCCATTTGGAAGTTGCATCTTCCACACAGGACCTACAGTGGTGACAACATACTCCAAGTTTCCTTTGGCATTATAATGATTAGCAACCTTTATTTCACAGTAATGTGTCAAACTGTTTACTAAATTACACACAAGTAACTGAACTTTAACCTTTCCTCTGATATGAATAACAGCAAACTAATGATTCCAAACTGATAGCTGTCTTTGTGACACAGCAGTTTAATTTGAACAGTGTGGTCAGTATGCTGCTGACATGCTCACTACTGGTTAGTCAAACGTGAGGTGGAAAGTAAATGTCAGCAGAGAGGAAGGAAGGAGGAGGGAGGAGGGGAGAGGGAGGAGGGGAGAGGGAAGTACAATGTCTGGCTGTGTGAGAAAGAGAGGAGCAGAATCAGTCCATGTGATTTAGGTTAAGAGAAACTAGTAAGTGATCATGATGTAAAATACAACCTCAATCTGAGGTGGACAACTTCAACCACCTGGTAAAAGAAGGCAACTAGGGAGGGAGGCGTGTGGCGCAGTGGATTAGTGTGTTGGTGTTGGGATAAGGGGGTCACAGGTTCAAACCCCACTGCAGTCAGCATGTCGTTGTGTCCCTGAGACACTTCACCCCAAATTGCTCCTGTGGGGATTGCTCACAGTATTGAGTATGTAAGTCGCTTTGGATAAAAGCGTCTAACAAGTGACATGTCATGTAACTAGCATTCATACGACTGATGGTTTTGTTTGTGAACTAACACACTTTTATGAGGACTGTTTGGTTATATGATGCATTTTATGATGGCCAGTTATGTTAAGTTCAATGTAGGGTTGCAACCAACGATTCTCATGAATTATCCCTTAGTCACTCCGTGTTTCTCTAGATACATTCTTTGGTCTATAAATAGGGAGAAACGTCCATCCCAGATTCTCAAAGTTGACAGTGACGTTTTTGAATGTAATAAGGAAATTCCCTTATTTCAAAACCGCATTTTTGACTGACGGTGCATGCAGCCTCCTCGTTAAAACAACCCCTGATATTTTTGCTTAGTTGCAGAATAACTTTGTGCACGGGCAGTTCTATCAACGGACTCTAATAATAATAATAATAATAACGCTCTCTCCTCCCTGTTGACTGACCGTGCCTGCAGCCTGCGGACGGCCTCCTCGTCCTGCCGCGCTCTCCTCTCGTCCTCCAGAGCGTCCTCCAGCTGGCAGTACATGCCCTCCATCTCTTTGACCCGCTGCAGGTACTGCTCCAGCTCCTCGGACTTCTGCGCCACCTGCTCCTCCATCTGCTGCCGGACCTGTGGAAGCATGACAAACACATGATGAGGTCAGTGTCAACACTCCTGACTTTTGTTTAACGAGTAGTCCATAAGGAATACATACCTTCCCCTCCCAGTGATGGGTTCAGGCCTAATTTAGGTAATAGACGTGTTCTCTGTGCACTCAAAAGTGTTCTTGCCTGTGATTTATCAGCATATCACTTGAATCTTGACTGGACTGACTTTTATCCTACTCACAGAGATGAGTTATTTTAATTATAAATGTATAATTGTAGGTACTTATTATCAACTAAAAGTATCAAATATTGACTACCTCCAGCTTCTAAAAGGTGGATTTAGCTATTTGTCATTTCATTTTACTGCAATTTTAGTTATCTATATCTATTCAACTTGTTTTTTGGTTCCAGATGAATATTTGTAAAGGCCATTTTTTACAATTAGTTCATTTTTAATATTGAACTAATATTTTTCTAATGAAAACAATAATTTGATTTCAATCTATATACAGTATGTTAAACCCTCTCAAAGTCAGATTTAGTGCATTGCATACATTCATGTAGCACTTTCACTCATAAAAGTAAAAGTGTTGAAGTTGTGACTTCCTGAAAAAAATCCATAAAGTAACTGATTGAAGATAAACCCCCATTTACACGGGAACGCAAACTAACCGAATTCGATATCAAAAAAGTCTTTCATTCACACGGATACGGCTCAATTAACGTGTCCGTTCACACGAGACCGCTCGACCGGCTGGAAACGCTGTAGTACATATGCCGGGCCTGTAAGTGGCGCTGTACTTCCGCCACAAAATACACCAAAAGCAGCGAAGAAGACCCCCGAGCATGGTTGCCATGGTTGCCTGGTTGCCCTTCTGTTTATGCCCCGCAGTGGATTTAGCAACATGTAGTTCATGTAGTTCTCCATGTCCACTTATTGATGATGGTTGTGGTAGAGGAGCTGTAGATTTTGCACTAACAGCATGGTCAGTAGCAGTAGATACTGACCATGCTACAGCAGTGAGGTGTTCTCGTGTAAAACAGCACACCAGAGTGCACTGAGCATGTCAATATGTTATCAGTAGAGGCAGTCGGGCGTAGTATAGATGCTTTTATTGTGGTGACATTTACCAAATGTACCCTACAGCAACAAGTATGTGTCTCTGACATGTGCAGTGAGATCATCAACACAACCTCAAATAAATTGTTAAGTTTTAGCTTCCCTCTAAGCTGTTGTGACTTTGAGGGATAGTTTGAATTGTAAAAGTGGGGTTGAAAGAGGAACCATAGTCAGCCCTCAGTTTGGAGTAACAGACAGAAGCATGAAAGCAAAGCATTGATGTGCAGAAAGAACATACCAAACGGCTCGCTGCGCCCTCGCTGCGAAGGGGACCCAAGTTCCCATCAGCAAAAACATGTGGGTTTGCTGTCCTGGCTCCAAAATGGTGGAATGAGCTCCCCATTGACATCAGGACAGCAGATAGCTTACACACCTTCCGGCGCAGACTGAAAACTCATCTCTTTCGACTCCACTTCGAGCGATAGAACTATTAACAAAGCACTTATATACTAACAAAGGACTGGCTTACCGAAAGCCAGTTGAGTAGCACTTGAAATGTTTTTGCTCTATGAAACCTACTTATATGATTCTGTTTTCTTCAAGTTTGTATTTTGTTGGTCGAACGCACTTATTGTAAGTCGCTTTGGATAAAAGCGTCAGCTAAATGTAATGTAATGTAACATATACCTAACCAGCTAAACCAAAGGCCTACGTGATGAAACCATTATCTGTTTAAGAGATCGCTATATTTAGAAAATTCTAATGCCATCAGACAGCACTTTTGACAGGGAACTGAAGCAGTTATATCCATCTATACACTCTTCAAACTCCATTGACAAAAACAGTCATTTCGCCTTTGAAGAATAGGGAAGTCGCTGGTCTACCTTTGACACAATGTTTATTTAGTTTGTGTATTTGTTTTGTTCTGATTCAACAATACCACACTAACTCAACTTTTCTCCTGAGTATCTTTTTTACATTAAAACATCTGTAATGTACGAGTGAAAGCACCTTACATCTAAAAGAGGAAGTTGTATTTAAGTTGCTCTTATTCTGACGTAATTAATCTGTGAAAGATGCACATGGTCACGTACTATTTTCTCTCTCTCTATGTCCACGATGTAGCGGTCCTGGAGTTCAGTCTGAGTCTGAAGACGCTTTCGTTCTTCTTCTGCTGCTTTATCCGCCGCCTCCTCCAGAGCCTGGCAAAAAGAAAAACAGACATTAGTCAACAAAAATATCAGATAGATAAATAACCTTTTACAAAAACACCTTCTCTGTTTTTCAACCTTAGAGCTCCCCTATCATGCAAAATCCTCTTCTTCATGTCTCTTCTTCATCAACATGTGTCTCCTCTTCTTCATGTCTCTTCTACATCAGCATGTGTCCCCTCTTCTTCATGTCTCTTCTACATCAACATGTGTCCCCTCTTCTTCATGTCTCTTCTACATCAACATGTGTCTCCTCTTCTTCATGTCTCTTCTACATCAACATGTGTCCCCTCTTCTTCATGTCTCTTCTACATCAACATGTGTCCCCTCTTCTTCATGTCTCTTCTACATCAACATGTGTCCCCTCTTCTTTATGTCTCTTCTACATCAACATGTGTCTCCTCTTCTTCATGTCTCTTCTACAGCAACATGTGTCCCCTCTTCTTCATGTCTCTTCTACATCAACATGTGTCCCCTCTTCTTCATGTCTCTTCTTCATCAACATGTGTCTCCTCTTCTTCATGTCTCTTCTACATCAACATGTGTCCCCTCTTCTTCATGTCTCTTCTACATCAACATGTGTCCCCTCTTCTTCATGTCTCTTCTACATCAACATGTGTCCCCTCTTCTCCATGTCTCTTCTACATCAACATGTGTCCCTCTTCTTCATGTCTCTTCTACATCAACATGTGTCCCTCTTCTCCATGTCTCTTCTACATCAACATGTGTCCCCTCTTCTTCATGTCTCTTCTACATCAACATGTGTCCCCTCTTCTTCATGTCTCTTCTACATCACATGTGTCCCCTCTTCTTCATGTCTCTTCTACATCAACATGTGTCCCCTCTTCTTCATGTCTCTTCTACAATCAACATGTGTCCCCTCTTCTTCATGTCTCTTCTACATCAACATGTGTCCCCTCTTCTTCATGTCTCTTCTACATCAACATGTGTCCCTTCTTCTTCATGTCTCTTCTACATCAACATGTGTCCCCTCTTCTTCATGTCTCTTCTACATCAACATGTATCCCATCTTCTTCATGTCTCTTCTACATCAACATGTGTCCCCTCTGTGTAAAGAGACTCTGAAAGTTTCAGGAACAAAGATTCTCTCTCTTTTCGTCCTGATCCATTTCTATAAAAACCTGTCTGAAAATGAGCTGATCAGATTTTGGCTACTTTATGCCATAACGATGTTTTGGCTTGAGTAACCATTAGCCAATCACCACCAACCAAGGTAACCGTCACTTCTTCTTCTTCTTCTGCTTTGGGTTTACTGGCAGGCCGCAAACAACTTCACGGCGTGTACTGCCACCCAAAGTCCCCGGCCGGAAGTCCCCGGAGTTGGGGACTGGGTAAATCGCCAGAACGCCGACACCTCCTCATCTCCACCGCTCCCATGTTTTTGTTTGTGTTGCCATAAGTTAGTCTCTCTCCATTGGTGCGCAGGGCTAATGCTAATAATGCTAATGCCAGCAAATACAATGGCAGCTTCACAAAACTTTTCAGAGTTTTACGGGGCGTGGTTTGCAATCCGCCCAGCCAATCAGAAATTGGAACTTTGGAACTTGGAAGGGGGGAAAAGTTCTCATGAACTAAGTTCTCTTTTTGGTGTGAACGCAAAATCCCAGGAACTATCGGAACTAAACGGGAAAAGTACAGATTTGTTTTCAATCTGCATTTCTTAGCAGGACATATTTGAGTAGTGGGCTCACACTCCGGTGTGAAAGCGCCTATTGTGTTCTTTGTAACCAAATCTCTCTCAGAGGGGCGTGGGGAGGGGCTCCTTATTTTCATCTAAAGTCACAGACAGAGAATCAGCACTTTGGAAACAGGGCTGAAACAGAGGGGATTATGGGTAATGCTGCAATGATCTGTTTGGTGTTTGGAGCCAAACACTTCAGAGACATGTTTGTATTTATCTGAGACCTGTAACATATTGATGAAAAACAGTACAATAGGGGACCTTTAAATTAAGGTGAAATGCATTTTCATCAGAAGGAATTACACTATCCATTTAAGGTCAAAAAGCAAGTTGTTTTCTACACATTATCAACAGAAGTGAATGCATTACCTCTAAATAGTCATTTGAAAGTAATAACTTTGTTTAACAAATAGAGAGGTTCCGGCTCCAAAGAGGAATTGAGAGTAAAGTAGGGCCCAATACTCAAATATGTCATGCTAAGAAATGCAGATTGAAAAAAAATCACCAGAGCAATATTATGTGAATTAGGTGTATTATAACATGGAATTGACTCAATCTACTGGCTTCATTTGCTTAGATTAACTTTTGATAAAAGCTGTAATTATGCAACATTTAAATTATAGGCACAATGAGTAGGGTTTGGGTGAGGTTTGTAAAGTTGGATCCCGCTCAACAAGTATTCAACAGGTTCTCTCTTCTTTTGGAACAAGCTATTCCTGCTTCGCATTTCATTTCCATTTTAGTAGCTTCATTTACACGCTGTACGCGCTTACGATCTGGAACCTGATCCAGACCGGATTTACAAAAGGTTGACGCAGAAAAACTCAGAATACAATTTAAGAAAATCCAGGCCGTCTATTCTCTTCTTATCAATAAAAAAAACTACTATAAAAAGTGAGAGACAGGAATGATGTTTGAGTTAAACAGCTGTCTTGTCAGATGTTTGAAGGCTCCTTGTACTTTAACATTTGTATAAATAAGTCTCCACGTCTCTAGTTTTGTACATTGAAGTAGATGTCACAAGAACAATTATATTTAAGTCAAGTGGTGCGAGTGGTTTAAGCGGTAACCTCATATTGACTCGTGTCACCCAGCTGTGACTACATATAGCAGCACAGTGCAAGAGCCACAGTGCTGTGTGTGTGTGTGTGTGTGTGTGTGTGTGTGTGTGTGTGTGTGTGTGTGTGTGTGTGTGTGGCCTAGCATTACTATACTTGTGGGGACCTACATCTGTTTACATAGTCACGTGTGGGGACTCGCCTCCCTTATGGGGACAAAATGGAGGTCCCCATGAGGGGAATCATTCATTTTAGGGTGAAGACTTGGTTAGGTTAAGGGTTAGGGTTAGGCATGTGTTGGTTATGGTTAAGGTTAGGATAAGTCTCCAGGAAATGCATGTAAGTCAATGTAATGTCCCCTGAAGTTGTGTGTGTGTGTGTGTGTGTGTGTGTGTGTGTGTGTGTGTGTGTGTGTGTGTGTGTGTGTGTGTGTGTGTGTGTGTGTGTGTGTGTGTGTGTGTGTGTGTGTGTGTGTGTGTGTGTGTTCATTGTGCATTCATGCAGCCATCTATGCAAGACTTTCACCTCAATGGCAGATTGTTGTGCATTCAATGGACAGCAGAGACGTCCCACACAAAGACAAACTGTTGTTCTCTGTGTTGCACAACTACGACGTGAACTAGTTTGACCGACTGTTGCGCATCACTCTCTCTGCTGATGAAGTGCTGCTGCTCAAAACTCTCTCGGCTGAGTTATGGTGACGGTGTTTTTATGACTTCACGTCGGCTATACTTAGATATCGCTCTTTAGACTTTGGTGGTCAAAGGTCAAGCTCTCTGTGACCTCACAAAGCATGGTTTGGCCATTACTCAATCATTAGTTTCCTAATTATAACGTCACACAAATGTCTAAGAAAATAAAATAAAAAGATGACATCGTGGATCGACATGAATGTGAACAACATGTTGGCTGGTTGGTAAAGGCATTCAATACTGTGCAATACAAACACTCGTGTGCAATATACACTTATGTGCAATTCAAAAAATGTCTTACTTGGATTCAATACTTACTTCAATACTTTGTGCATTCACTTGTGTATTTTTAGGATACTGCTACTTATTTTATACCACGGTGTACCGTTTCCAGTTTTTTGATTATATATTTATTTATGACTTGTGCTTTCCTTTGAACTTCCACACCAACACTATGTGCAATATACATATCAATGTAATTAACATCATTGCAATACACTCGCTGCTATATATATATAACTATGTGCAATATTATATTATTATTATTAATAATGCTATGATAACGTGCAATTACGTAACTGCCACTATGTTTTATTTTTTGCACTACTAATTACTAAATACTGCTAATAATGATTGCATTGATTGTGTGACCTTCTATGTTTCTACGTCTCATGTTGTCTGTGGATGTTTAATTGCTCTTTTTGCTGCACTTTTAGTGTACAGTTTTGCTGCTGTGTTTATTGTATGTTGTTACTCTGGCACAACAATTTCCTTCGGGATGAATAAAGTCTTATCTTATCTTAATCTAATATATAAGTCAAACTGTATATGGACCTTTTGTTTATCTGCACTGTATCGTTGCTTCTGTAGTTCTGGAGCAGGCAGAAGTATTGAAAATGGAAATTAGTCATTAAGTCTATTCATTGGAACTGAAAATGAGGCTTGTGTACCAGGTTCCACAATTGTTGAGGATTATGAATCAGTTTTATGTTTTAATATATACAGCACCTTGTCTACGCAAAAATGTGCAATTATCACACCCTACAAAAAAACACTGCTTTAGTATTTACTTTAAGGCTGCAACAGATTTTGTAATTGCTTCACACACATGTAAAGTATGTTTCAACAGACTGTATGACTTCCTGTTAATTTCACAGCGTTACCAGGAAGCGGCCATTAGTCACCAGTATTTGTGGAATCCACACAATCACAGGCGGTCAGACGCAGAGTCAACAGACAGAGTGACTCAGGTTCAGGGAGGTTTACTGGAAAATCCTGATTAAAGTGGCCCCTCGTCTGCTTCCTGGTGCAATACACATTCCCTGTGCAGCAGCTGGGGACAGAGCAGGGGGAGGGGGGGCTTTTATTGGTATTCATGAGCTGTGAGTTTCAGAGGAGACCCTCCATGGTTTCGAGGGCACTATACTTTAATTATTGTGTGAACAGTGTGTTCATAAAAAAGGAAAATACTCAATTTAAGTTCAAGTATTTTAAAAGTTTCCTTGTGTAGAATACTTAGAGGAGTATACAATGACAGTGGATGAATTTAAAGTACACATTTTCATTTCACAGGCATACATACATACAGTACACTTCTGTACTTCTGACTCCATGGTATTTCATTTAATGCTTTAATTACTTTGCAGATTATTTATACAAAATATATTCAACAAATAAATTAGTGTGTGTTTAATAACTGGAAGCCTCCCAGCAGTACACAAAGTAATTAACATGGGCTCCGACCCGACACTGCTCCCCAGGCGCCGAATATACTGACCGCTCCAGACACTAGGACACTATACTATGTTTTGATACTACTTTTGCTAAGAATTTGAATGGAGGATTCAACCTGTTTGAGTTTTGTTAATTCTACTTTTAATTAACAAAAAGATCAGAATCCCCCACGACTGACATCCCATGAAGGATCAAGGTTCATTTTGTTGTTGTACTCCTGACAAAAATCAATAGAACATTCCTTTTTGCCTCCGAATTATGAATGTGAACATTTATGTGTATATATGTGCAATATATGAATGCCGTTAATAACTGTGTAATATATACCTGGCTGCTCAATCCTAAGAACTGTTACAAGGTGTGTATTTTGTAAATTATGTAACTTTTTCATTTTATTTTATTATATCATAACTTAGTTCTTTTTTTAATGCATGTCACATTTAACATATGTAACATTAAGCTGTCTGTAACTACGCACATGTCCCCTCCGTAGGACTAATAAAGGTATTCTGATTCAGATTTTATTTATTTACAGCTCACTTTAAGGTCCGGATGATGCTTGATGGGGAACGTCTCTTCTGCTTCCCTTTTGAAAGCTTCTGTTTCTTTATTTTTGTTATTTCCTATTTTTAAAAACGTACAGGTTAAGACATTTCCCCCAGCTCTATTTACAGACAAATTCCATTAAACTCCTTTGGGTATTTTCCTATTTTCTCTTCATTTGCTGAAGGTATCTATAGATACAAATGTAGAAATGACCCCTTTACCCCATTATTTATTTCTTATACCTAAAATACCCTAATAGGGCTTTACATGTAGATCACAGTTTACACAGCATGCTGATCTCTGAAACTCAAACTAGAGGGATGGAATTCTGTCTTAAGGTCCTGACACACCAAGCCGATTTCGGCCGTCGATGGATGTCGATGGATGTCTGGCCGTCAATGAGCGTCCTGTCGCCCTACTCAGATTGGTGTGTCCCGCCCCGTCGTGTCTTTTCGGCCGTGCCGACACCTTCCGAGGCCGTCGGCTAAATAAATCACTCTGATTGGCTGTTCAGCTAGCGAATCAGTGCATGAGAAGCGAAACGGAAGTGAGGGACCCAAACAAACGATTAAGAAGGCAAATCTGAGATGTCATTGAACTCCAGCTCTCGACACAGGTTCGGGAAAGCCCCGTGAGCTTCTCGCTGTAGAGTGAAAATGGAACGCACACGCTATTTGTTGTTTGTATATATCACGCAGTCTGTCTTCCGGTTGTTGCCTCTTTTGAATGACGAATACACACTACCGCCGCCTGCTGGTAAGGAGAGTTATTGCCACTCACGCATGCGCAGTGCGTACGTGCTACTTGGCCGTCGGCTGAAGTCTTTGCGGTGTGTTCCAGTGCAACTGTTGGCCAAGACGCAGAGACGCGAGGCGACGCAACAGTCGTGTTCCGTCGGGACGTGTTCTTTGGTGTCAGTTTGGTTTCTAGGCCCCTTTATATGCAGATCATTTCTTTGAAGCTTTTTTGACAATCTCCTGGAATGTTTTCTTTTTATATACATTCACATTATAATTTTTGTAATTTGGATTGTCTGTGTTGTTTTTTAATCTGTACACATGTCATCTATTGCAGGTATGTGTGTCCTGGTAGAGGGATCCTCCTATGTTGCTCGAGCAGAGGTTTCTTGACTTTTTCACTAATCATTTTTTACACTGGGAGGGTTTAAGGACCGATGGCGTCACATGTAAAGCTCCCTGAGACTTATGGGTAATCTATGGTATTATAAATAGAATGTGATTGATGGAAACCTTGTTTGCAATACCCCGTCATCATGGATAACTGCTTCTGCTTTCAAAGAAACTCACTGAACTTTTTTAGATTCAGCATACAACAAAAGGAACTGATCTCTCCCCAGAGGTTTCCTGAACAGACGAGGTTCACAGAGGGAACCTTTAAAGGGGACCTATCATGCAAAATGCACTTTTTGATGTCTTTTATACATAAATGTGACCTGCTCTATCGAAATCAGTCGCATTGACCCGAAGACACATTTTGAGTTGTATACACTGCTGAAAAGAGGATATTCCTAGCTTTCTAATGATATCAGGATTGTTTTTGTACTCCAAATATTAAGCGGAATATGTCACATTATATAATGACTGTCACCAAGTCATCATTTTGAGAAAAAGGCCTTCAAAGTTTCCTCTTCTCTGGATCGATCTGATTGATTAGCGGAGCAAATGATCAAAATACTACGGAGGGAAGATATTTTCGTTTGGATTACTGGTCTGGGGGAAGCTCACATGTGTGTGTATACGTGTGTGTTTGTGTAATTTAGCGTTTGTGTGTATTGTGTTTGTTTCCCGGGGAAAACCCTCACGAGAAACACCGGCTGTTGTTACGCCTGCTGTGACGTTAAGTTACTCTGTTCTCCGCTTGTAATTATGCCGAAGCTTCAAAGTTGTATTTATCATCTGAATTTGCCGAAAAAAGTTTAATATTCTGAAAGCCAAGACTTTGTTTAATTGAAATCAGATGAAAACAAACTGTAACGGACCCTGCCGTGTTATTTATGATTACTCTACGCTTACATTCATAATGTCAGCCGGAGGGAGGGGGGTGGCGCTGCGGAAGAGCAGATTGCGAGTGAGAGGTGCCTGTCTTCGTCCCTTACAAGCTTAAAGAATGTATTTATCGTGTGAGTTTGGAAATAAAAGGTTCATATTCTGAAAGCCAAGACTTTGTTTGTTTAAAATCAAACAAAACACCCGAACCCTGAAAAAATAGTTTTTTACGTAAATCCACGTTTATTTTGAAATGAGCCGTTGCGACTTCCGACTGATTTCGATAGAGCGGGTCACACATATGTGTCCCCGGTGTGTCAGGGAACTCACGCAGTGTCAGAAAATAAAACTCTCTCTTTTCCTCCGTACCCAAATCTCTAAAAACAGGGAACAACGGAGCTGATCCAGATTTGCGTCCGATATGACGTAATATCTGAAATGTGGACCCACGGCCCAATCAGAAACGTTGCTATCAGAAACAATGCCCGACTGTTTTGGACGTAATATGGTCGGTGTTTACATTAGCATCGCTAACACTCAGAGCTAACCTGTACTGGAGAGCATGTGTGTGAAGAAGCAGGAAATTATTTAGATATTTAGGCAGTATTTAGTTTAGACAGCATCTGCCGGTAGAATCTCCCGCATGAGCTCAGCCCCCTCCTTTTAAAGCTTTATTCCCAAATCAGCACTTTTGAAACAGGAAGTGAAATAGAGGGATATGAGGCATGGCTAGAATGGGTGATCTGTTTGGTATTTTGACCAAAACACTTTTTATATATATATTTATATCTGAGACCTATGCTATTGCGTAAAAATAGGTGGTGACCTTTAATGTGTATTTTTCTCTCCTCACCTTCCTCATGTTCTCCAGCTCCAGCTGTTTGACCTCGTTGGCCGTCTGCAGCTCGGACATCCTGAGCTGCAGATCCTCCTGCTCCGCCTGCAGCTTCAGACGAATCTCCCGCCGCTTCTGCCGAGCCTCGCAGTGCGGCGTGGGCCGGCCCTGACGCAGCAGACTCACACAGTTCTGAATGGCTGAAGAGGAGACGTTAGAGACAGGAATTTAACTAATGAAGCTCAGCGCAAGTTCAACCAGGAAGACCTCATTAATTTACTATTTATATGTTAATACTCTCTCTCCTCTCAATAAGTGATCGGGGGCGTCACTCCCCAGCTTAACCAATCACTTCGCTCTATTCCCAAGAGCCTATGAGCGCTCTGCTAAACCTTTTAAGTCTGCTCTGCCCCCTCTGACAGCTGTCATTTCAGGTGACTCGATGCAACCCTCCTCCACCCCTTTTCACCTCCCGTCCCTCTGAATCCAGGGTCAAGCTAAACCCCTCCCCTTCAGACCGACCCAACTATCCATTCACCACCACCAGTGTCTAGACCCCGGGGGATTTCATCGGATCGGTTCTCCCCTCCCGAATGATACTTCCTGCACAACGGGGCCTAATCGACAAAACCCCATTACATTCATTTGTGTATTCCTGGCAATAAATATGTATTCTTACATCAAACCCGTCTCTCCTGATTGAAATACAATCAACTAGAAAAATCAAAGTTCAAAGGTTATACTGTCATATACTGTGTTGTTGTGCCATGAAAAACTTGAGTCACATGTTCTTTTTTTATGATTGTAGACGGAACTTCTTGCAGTGTGTAACTGGACAAAATGAGACTTATGAAGTTCACCGCTCACCCTGGATCCACTCCTGCTTCTTCTTCTTGTCCGACGCACTGATTTCAAAGCTTTTATTTGACAACTTGATGAGAAAGAGACACTTCTTTCCTTCTTTATCTTGTAACGGCTGCAATTAAACAAAAAAAAAGAATTTAACCACCAAAAATACAAAAGCAACAATTACAAGGAAACCCAAATACATATATTCTGTTTTCAACTCTGTGTCTATTGCGTTATGTTTTAATCATTGGGACTTCCGTCTTTGATCTACTGATTTTCTCAGCATGACTGATATAAGACAATCGATCCCTTAAAGGTGGGGTAGGTAAGAACGGAGAAACCAGCTCGAGTGCACTAGAATTTGAAAGTACGTAGCCGAAAAAATCTGCCTCTTCCTTCAGACTTCCTCACAGAGCCCCTCCTCCAACACACACGAACGCGCACATGACCAATGAGGGCACCAGATAAGTTTGTGCCCAGATGGAAGGCTGACAGGCAGGTAGGCCATCCAGTTACTTTAGCCGAGCCGGCTCAGATGATTGGTCGTGCTTTTTACAGCGCCACGGCTTCCACAGATGAAATATTTGTATGTATTGTCAATGCATTTAATGTTTTCATTGCTATCGGGATGTTAAGAGCATTCCATGGAATATAACAAGTGTTTCTGAAGTGAATTACCTACCCCACATTTAAGTTGGACAATTGTGTTATGAATTGTGTCAATGCACATTCTACTACTGGCATTAGTTACAGGTAATATTCCTAATATTTTTGCTACATTTGGTGTCAGATATCACTTTAATGCAAGACAGCTATACATTTGTCATTAAAAAGCAGCAGGTCCTTGCCTCCACACTGCAGTATCCGTCCAGTAAAATGTCTCCCTTTTTTTCCGCCAGGTCCTCGCCGACAAAGTAAGAGATGGAGTTGAGCTTCAGCATGAACCAGCGCTCCGTCCAGTTCTTCCTCTTGTGGCCTTTCTTCATCATGTAGCCCTGCAGGAGAAAGGAGGACATGGATCAGGGTAATTTAAAACCAACAAATTAACTGTGTGATACTGAACTATACCTTATTTTAATAATTTCTCAATAATAAAGGTTTTCTGTGCTTTAATGCCGTCCTTTAACTCTCAACATGACCTCAGTGCCAACGGGAAATAAACAGACCTGCTACGACCACAAACCTTCACTTCCTTATTTTATGGGCTTATATTTAGGGCGCATTCACACCAGCCTTTTATAGTCTAGTGAACTCTGGAGCGGTTCATCGCTGGTTTGAACGCAGTCCGCACCAAAACATAGGAAGCGTAGTATTTACGTGTCACAAGAACGCGGGTGTCTTCAAAATCGTTAGCGAAAGAGTGAAGCAGCATGAAGTGTTGAACAGTGTCGTATAAAGTAAAAACAACTATCAAACAAAAAACTATACATAAAAGTCAGAGCCACCTGTCGTCGGTGAAACCCCCTCCTCACTGCAAAACGTCTCTCATTATATGTGTTCTAATGTTCTGTATCGCACGTTGTCTGATTATATAATCATATGTGCCGTTGCTGTTGATATGCTCTCCAGATTAACAGCAGCATGAAAAATAACCTGCCGATGCTCCATGGCGGAGGCTCCGGTAGAAATTGCCGGGATTTGCGTTTGTACCCCCTTAATGTCTGACCAATGGTTGAACAGCATTTCCATGCGCATGACTTGTGTTTTAACGCAAACCGAACCTTCTGAAAAATGAAACAATGTAATAAACTGTGGTCTGGTGACTATTAGGTGTGAATGCGTCCTGAAAAGGGCTTTAGTTCTGATTCATACTGTCTGCAATCAATGTCCATGTTTATTCTGAGCATTATTGTTTTGACACATTATTCCAAAGGTCTCCACTCCATCTCTTAACTAATTTTCTAAACGTTTATTTTTGGTGACATCTCCTTCATTACCTGCTGTGTAGTAATAAAGGGGATGGATCTAAGCTAATGATTAATAACAGACTTGTTTTATTGTTCCGTGCAGCTCACCTGTTTGAGCACGTCCATGATGAGCTCCTGGTAGACCTCGGCGATGCCCATGGAGAGCGTCTGGCGGTCCATGCCCTTGATGAACTGCCCGGAGCCCACCAGCAGGATGAGCTCCCAGGCGTTCAGACTCTGCTGCCTCACGCTCAGCTGCACCTTGTAGTCCTCGAAGCGCTCCTCCACCCAGCTGCCGCCCATCGCCTCCGTCAGCTTACGCAGGAAGTACTCGATCTGTGGAGGACACACAAGCAGGGTTTAAAGGTCCCCTATTATACTGTTTTTCATCAATATATTATAGGTCTCAGATATATACAAAACATGTCTCAGAAGTGTTTGGCTCCAAACAGATCTTTGCAGCATTACCCATAATCCCCTCTGTTTCAGCCCTGTTTCCAAAGTGCTGATTCTCTGTATGTTACTCTAGATGAAAATAAGGAGCCACTCCCCACGCCCCTCTGAGAGAGATTTGCTTCTTCTTCTTATCGGAAACACTGATTACAAAGCTGATATTGTGAGGATTTGATGAGAACGAGACACTTCTTGTTTTAGTATATATCTTGTAAAGGCTGCAGCGGAAAAAACACAGATAAGGATTTTAACACCAAAAATACAGAAGCAGAGAAGACGAGTAACCTCAATATTGAAATGCACGGTCAGTAGGCCTATATCGTTTTTCCTTCTTTGCTGACTGTGCCCATTGGTCTTAGTATTAATCACGGGCGTCGCAGCCATTATATGAGGGTGGGACAAGTCCCCCCCCACCTTTTAAAATGATTAGTTTAGACCCCCCCACTTTTACCATGTGGAAAGTCCGTGAATCGGTCTATCCACTCGCCACTCTTTGTAGAGCGCTGTGTCAGTGCTTCATTATCAAATCCATTCCACTTGCTTATTGAGAGAATGCCCAAATCAATCAATCCGTACCATGTTTTCACTGCTACTTTGTACCAAGGCAGATTCTCAGAGCCGTACAAATGAGCCAAGCACACAGCTGATGCCGACAGCCCGGCTCCTGCCGCTTGCTTGCGGCAGACCAAGCTTGAACGTTTGCCGGGGAGACGCCTGGACACTTCTACGAGCAGCAAGCTTTCAACAGCGATAGCTAAATGGGTGGCTACAGCTTAACATTGTGGAGGACGAGGGGCTGCGTTAGATCATTCGAATTTCGCCGACAACTGTAAACAGGCTTGTCTGTTTGAGCAACGGGCTCAGTGCAAAGAAGTAGGTTGGGAGAGAGTGTAAGAGAGAGAGGTTCCAGGTTGTTATGTTGAAAATATTCAGGAGAATATTTGTCATTGTTCCAATGATAATAAACAAACATTTGCATAAAGCATATTGTCCACTCATATGTTGATAAGAGTATTACAAACTTGTATTCCTTTAAGGTACATTTAGAACAGATGAAAAATGTGCGATTAACTATTTTAATCGACTGACAGCCCTAAAAAAAACATGCAAGAAGTACTCAATCTGTGCAAGGTCACACATGCATGGTTTCAACACAAGAGCACAGCTACACACAAACATTGAGATCCTATATTCTTTATTTGTTTAAGCTCTTCCTTTAAATTGAAAGTAACTGTTCCTGTCTTGTATTTTTCCTTCTAGTCGTCTCTGCATGGGCTCACTGCAGCACATACATCTACATTTCTTCCTGTGATTCAGCCCCAGTGTTTGTTATACCCAACAATAAATCCTCCAGCATTAGTACAAGAACAGGAAGCTGGAAACTTCCTTTTCTGCTCTTGAGCAACAGACGCTATGAGTAGCACTGAAACACCACATGTTCAGCACTACAGCTAAAATCAGTGGTCTTGAATTGAACAACATCTCATTCCAACGTGTTGTGAGGGCACAGGGAAGTCAATTTAATTGTACTTAAAAACATTTCCGTTAATAACTTCCTCGTTTTTGAAGAATGACCAACTGTTTTGGTAGAGATTTATTAGACTGTTAGTGCAGAGCATATTCAAAATGGGGGACTCCTGTTCGAGTATGGTTGGTTTACAATTTGATAGTGGATCAGCTTTCTGGCTCTGACAAACTGGGAGGCTTTAACTTCAATAGCATAAAAATAACAAGGTTTGAAGCCAAACGACTCGCTGCACCCTCGCTGCGAGGGGGACCCAAGTTCCCATCAGCAAAAACACGTGGGTTTGCTATCCTGGCTCCAAGATGGTGGAATGAGCTCCCCATTGACATCAGGACAGCAGATAGCTTACACACCTTCCGGCGCAGACTGAAAACTCATCTCTTTCGACTCCACTTCGAGCGATAGAATTATTAACAAAGCACTTATATACTAATAAAGGACTGGCTTATCTATAGCCAGTTGTTTTATTTCTACAGAGCTTTTATTTAACATGAATGCATTGAGATGTTGGGCATTCACAGAAAATATTTTATATTCCACAATTTAAGTGAAATAGTGTATAATGTAATGCTTCAGTCAGATTCAGATTTGTGCACCAATATATCAAATATTTTTAATTATTAACCGGCTACAGTCTAATACGTATTAAAGTACTGCTAAACTTCAAGTTTTTGGATCTGCACTGCCTCACCATATGTTTTGCAATATTGATATTTTATAACTCTTAAAGGTAGGGTAGGTAAGAATGGAGAAACCAGCTCGAGTGCGCTAGAATTTGAAACTACGCAGCCGAAAAAAATCTGCCCCTTCCTTCAGACTTCCTTACAGAGCCCCTCCTCCAACACACACGAACGCGCACATGACCAATGAGGCCACGAGATAAGTTTGTGCACAGATGGAAGGCTGACAGGCAGGTAGGCCATCCTGTTACTTTAGCCGGGCCGGCTCAGATGATTGGTCGTGCTTTTTACAGTACTACGGCTTCCACAGATGATATTTTTGTATTGTCAAAGCATTTAATGTATTCATTGCTATCGGGATGTTAATGTGTGAATCAGGTTTGTAAACTGCTGGATATGCTGCGATGATATTTAAAAGATAGAGCAGCAAACATTGTTCAGCTGGAACCATATAATTGTGTTATATGCAAAAAACTATTCTCAAATGAGTTTGCTGTTTGGTGATCTAATGTACAACAAAACATCAATATTTGATAAGCTCTTCATATGTCTTATGCACAACTCTTAATTTGTGGAAGTGGAGATTTCCCTCTTAGATGTTGTGGAGAAGAAGTTAAAGGTTACCTATCATGCTATTTTTAGGCAATAGCATAGGTCTCAGATATATAAAAAATTAAATATATAAAAAATATGTCTATGAAGTGTTTTGCTCAAAATACCAAACAGATCATTCTAGCCATGCCTCATATCCCTCCATTTCACTTTCTGTTTCAAACGTGCTGATTTTGGGTATAAAAATGGCTAAAAATATAAAAGGAGGGTCTGAGCTCATGCGGGACCCGGCAGCTACTGTCTAAACTAAATGCTGCCGTGATGAAACGCATATCATGGATTATCAAGGATTCTCTCTGAAACAGTTTGGAGCTCAAAGGCTTTCTCTCTTGCCAGTTATACCACAAGGTGAGTTCCTTTTTACTTCCTGCTTCTTCACACACATGCTCTCCAGTACAGGTTAGCTCTGAGTGTTAGCGATGCTAATGTAAACATGCACCGAACATATTACGTCCAAAACAGTCGGGCATTGTTTCTGATAGCAACGTTTCTGATAGAGCCGTGGGTCCACATTTAAGATATTACGTCATATCGGACGCAAATCTGGATCAGCTCCGTTGTAGCCCCGTTTTTAGAGATTTGGGTACGGAGGAAAAGAGAGAGAGTTTTATTTTCTGACACTATGTGAGTTCCCCGACACACCGGGGACACATCTTTATGTATAAAAGACATCAAAAAGTGCATTTTGCATGATAGGTCCCCTTTAAGTACAAGTCTCTCTAATGAGTGAATATACTTTCCTCCAATACAAAGTAAACTAATGCTGGTTTGTCTCAACTATATCAAAGCACCGTTAACGCTCACCTCCTCAGTGACGATGATCAGCGGGTATCGGTCCTCCGACAGGAAGTTGAAGATGCACCAGACCTTGAAGGCGTCGTCGTTGGAGATGAGCAGCTGACTCCGATCCAGGTTCTTCCTCGAGCAAAGCAGCCAGCACATCCTATTGAAGTCCTGGCGGTCGAAGCTCCCCGTCGCCTGAGGAGGAGAAGAAACACAACTCTGGTGAGGACGATTTTTTTTACCATGAAGCAGTTCAGGAGTATTCAGTACTGCGATAAGTTAACAAAGCAAAGATTAGAGAAATGTTTGTTATCGTTTATCATTGTTATACAACCAGTCAGGTTTATCTTAAGGTACGGATACGGCCAAATAAATCACTCTGATTGGCTGTTCAGCTTAGCGAATCAGTGCATGAGAAACGAAACGGAAGTGAGGGACCCAAACAAACTATTAAGAAGGCAAATCTGAGATTTCATTGAACTCCAGCTCTCGACACAGGTTCGGGAAAGCCCCGTGAGCTTCTCGCTGTAGAGTGAAAATGGAACGCACACGCTATTTGTTGTTTGTTTATATCACGCTGTCATATCTGTTCTTCTTCTCTGTCTTCCGGTTGTTGCCTCTTTTGAATGACGAGTACACACTACCGCCGCCTGCTGGTAAGGAGAGTTATTGCCACTCACGCATGCGCAGTTCGTACTTGCTTCTTGGCCGTCGGCTGAAGTCTTTGCGGTGTGTTCCAGTGCGACACATGGCCAAGACGCAGAGACGCGAGGCGACGCAACAGTCGGGTCCGTCTGTGTCAGTTCTTTGTTGTCAGATTGGTGTGTGCGGGCCTTTAAGGCCCCCCTCGAATGTTGAATTAGCCCTTTGTCCATATTAATAAATCAATAAAACTGAGTATTTTCTTCTATAGAAAGATGGCATGAATCTGTGCATTGCTGAACAACTGTGCAAAGAAAAAACATCAAATTCCAGATTAAATACAAAGAAGTCTCATGAAATGGAAACACTGTGATTTGGAGGAGAAATGTTTTCCTCGAGCCGCTGAACAGGAGCGTTTCCATGGAGACGCTGGCCGGAGGAGCACATCTCGTCCTGCTGGCAACCAACAAGCCACCAGAAAAACAAAAACACAAAAAAACTCCCAACACTCAGCGATCTGAACAGAGAGAACCTGAACTGAACTCAAGGAGCAAAACTTTAAGTGTCTAAGTTTAGAATAAACAAAGTTATCGTGGTTAGAGCAACACAGCATGAAGAACCAGGTTTCATAACTCGACATGTTCTCCTTCGCTCATGCATGGACACATTATGATGCAATATTTAATCAAATAACACGTAGGAGAAGAGGGGATTCCCACACACTGTTGTTTATCAGACCCCATTTACACGGGAACGCAAACGAACCTAATTCGATATCAAAAAAGTCTTCCGATACGGCTCAATAAACGTGTCCCTTCCCTTCACACGAGACCGCTCAACCCGCTGGAGACGCTGTAGTACATATGCCGGGCCTGTAAGTGGCGCTGTACTTCCGCCACAAAATACACCAAAAGCAGCGAAGAAGACCCCGAGCATGGTTGCCATGGTTGCCCTTCTGTTTATTCTCCGCGGTGGATTTAGCAACATGTAGTTCATGTAGTTCTCCATGTCCACTTGTTGCTGATGGTTGTGGTAGAGGAGCTGTAGATTTTGCACTAACATCTGTAGCAGTAGCACTAGCTCACTGCTGTAGCATGGTCAGTAGCTACTGCTAGTGCTACTGACCATGCTACAGCAGTGAGCAGTAGAGGTGGGGAGAGGTGGGGCTATGGCTTCATCGTTATCAGGAAATGATCGTATAGGACGTACACATTGAGCCGTTTGGCCCCCAGAGCGTTCCGTCCGCAGATCTATCCACCTTGGGACCCGTTATCGTTTGCGGGGTCCGTTTCCGCGGTTCCGTTGCGGCCTCGTGTGAACGAACGGGCTATACGAAAGAGAAAAGTAGCGGATACAACTCGTTTTGTTCCCGTGTAAACAGCACCTTAGTGTGGTGCACAAGTCTTGGAAACAAATATAATAAATCTCACAGTTGTTAATTTATTTCTGTGCTGTGAGAATAAAGGCGTGAAGCTGAAGTGAATGAACTGCAGTCAGAGAAACGTTTCTAAAGCAGCTCAGGATCTGATGTTCATTTAGGAGAGAGAGTGGCAACCTGCGCTGGAAGTGAATGTACTCCCAGGAATCACTGTTGACTCAAAAGATAGCAGTAAACAGTTTGTACTTCACTTATTAATACTTCACTAACCCAACATTAAAGTCAGGAGCCGTGTTATGGTGCTCAAATGTACATGAGAAAATAATCCTACATCTGAATCAACATCTGAAACAGTTTTTACAAAAACATGAACAATAACCGTTATGCAAATAGGATTGATACGAGCATTTGTAGCTAATAAACTGAAAAGGAAATGCGTACTGTGCGAGTCTTGAACCTGAGAAATAAATACAAATTGTATAAGCAGGCAGGTCATTTGCATAATGTCCTATACTCAAAACTCTACACTTGTGAAATACTCCATGTCAGCTTTATAGAAATATTATTGAGACATTCAGGATATCTGATAAACCTGGTTTGTTTCTTTTGAAGACTAGGACTTGACAAGTTAAGAAGTTATTATAACCCGAAAGTGATTTAAGAATTTTATAAAGATGTTTTTACACTTTTATGCTGACGAAAAAATGGTCAGTCTAGAATTGTATTTGAAAATGGGAAGTGTTACTCTCCTCTGGACATACAGATAGTGTTAGACACTAAAAATAGATTTTGGGTGGGGTTTCCCTTTAATAAAGCTCGGCACGCGGATGTGAATCCTGTCAACAGGTCTGACATGAGATAACAAGAAAAACAAAATAGTCATCGTCGGATGTTGGCCGATTGTGCAATACCTTTTTGGAGTGTGTCTGATGCATAGAAGCAGTTTTGTGTTGCTATACGATGCCCAAAGATTAAAAAGTGTATCTTATTCTTCAGCAGCATCAGTGTTTCTCCTGTGAGGATGAGGAAGCTCTGTTCAGGTGGTTTTCTGTCTGTCTGTCTGTCTGTCTGTCTGTCTGTGTGTGTGTCTGTGTCTGTCTGTCTGTCTGTGTCTGTCTGTGTCTGTGTGTGTGTGTCTGTGTCTGTCTGTGTCTGTCTGTCTGTCTGTGTCTGTCTGTCTGTCTGTGTCTGTCTGTGTCTGTCTGTCTGTCTGTGTCTGTGTCTCTCTCTCTCTCTCTCTCTCTCTCTCTCTCTCTCTCTCTCTCTCTCTCTCTCTCTCTCTCTCTCTCCTCTCTCTCCTCTCTCTCTCTCTCTCTCTCTCTCATATCAACAATGAGAGCCTTGTCGCGCTGCACATGTTCATTAGGATTCAGAATCCCTGCCGCAGCATCTCCTCACACCGAATTAGACCATTAAAATAGTTTATTACCAGTTGAACAGGATGCTCAGCTATTTATTCAAAAGGCTTGTTGCAGACTAAATGCAGCAGCAGTGGAAGGGACGGGTGCTCCTTCACGATATCAAAGGAAAGTCATTACACAAAGAGGAAATGAGTAAATGTTTTTACGCACACAAACATCTGCAGGTGTCTTCAACGATAGCTTGGCTTCTGAGCATTTTGTAGATACATGACACTATTTGTCTCTCCTAACTCTACTCATATCCAGCAGATAAGAGGTTATCTTTGTCCATGTGCTGAGTCACTTATCTATGATATGTTCTTCCTTGCATCACAATCTATCATCCTCTATTTATAGTCACTACGCTTTACTCTTAAATGTCACTGCATGACTGAATACATCCACACTCAGCTGCCAGTTTATTAGGTGCAATCAACTCAATCTAATGCCAATATAACTTTCTTGCAAAAAAATGGTACGTTAAAAAAGATTATAATGTCCAGTTTTTGTTGAGGTGATAGAAACTAGAAACATCTCCAAGTAAAACACAATAGACTTCACCAGCATCACAAATGAAAGCCCCCACATTATCATTAAGACGACCATCATCGTTTAAACTGATCACTAAGTGTTACGATTATTGTGTTATGTCACGTTTTCTATGTCTTGGTTTGGGTGTTTTGCTGTTCTCCCTGTCATGTTTTCTTCTTGGTTATTGTCTGGTCCTTTTCCCTGTGTTTTTCCTCCCGTCGTTAGTTTCCCTGGTGTGTCTAGTTGTCTGATTGTTTTCACCTGTGGCCCTTGTGTTTCTCCTCCCCTGCCCGGCTGTGTCTCGTCTTGTGATTACCCCTCCCTGTATTTAGTCTTGTCTCTTCCTGTGTTCAGTGTCGGTTCGTCTTGTGTCATGACTAGTTCGTCGGTGAGTGTTCTGTTTTGTCTTTGTTTATCACCTAGCCTTGAAATAAAGGAATTTTCACTTTAATCTGCATTTGGGTCCTGCCTGCTTCACACACCGTAACATTACGAACCGACCTAACAAATGGACCCAGCAGATGATCCATGGGAGGTAGAATTACAGCATTTTACCTTCTATCTGGCTTGCTGCTTCGATTGGTGGAAGGGAGCGTCCAGTGTTCGGCAGAAGAGGGCCGCTCTGGTAGAGGCGCACCGGTTGGCAGCAGAGAAACTATGTTTTGTGGAGTTCTTACCTGACTGGATTTTGGACTTCCTTGAAACATATGATTCCCGGCCTGCTAGCCCCAGGCATGCTAACTCCATGTCTCCCAATTCCCAACCTGGCACCATACGCCTTGGTGGGTTCCGCCTGAAGTCAACCCGTGCTTCTGCCCCAGTTCCTGCTCCTGTCCAGGAGTTGTATTCCGGAACTCGTCTGGCTTATGGAGGTCCACGGAGTATTCAGGCGGCTGCTTAGAGGAGTCGTCGCAAGGCCAGGCTAGCAGCCCGAGCAGCCATGGTTCCGGCTACAGAACCGGCCCACACAGCCATGGTTCCAGACCCAGTTCTGGCCCCAGCAGCCATGGATCCGGCTCCAGAACCGGACCTTATAGCCACGTTTCCGGCTCCAGAACCGGACCTTACAGCCATGTTTCCGGCTTCAGAACCGGACCTTACAGCCATGATTCTGGCTTCAATTCCGGCTCCAGAGCTGGCCCATTCAGCCATGTTTCCGGCTCCAGAACCGGACCTTGCCATGTTTCCGGCTCCAGAACCGGACCTTACAGCCATGTTTCCGGCTCCAGAACCGGACCATACAG